TATTAATACAGTATTCATTAACAATGTGTTGGAAATACTATATGATATACAGTATAATACATTTTACTATAGTAAGGTTCATATTTATTACATATTAATATTTAATTATGTGAGATATACCCTATAGTGGTTGTATTACTATAGTAACTATAAAGTTACCATAATAGATTAATTCAAGTACTTTACTATAGTACACTTCAAAAACACTACAGTATTTACGTATTTTTTGTCTCTGAGGTGTCAGATCTAAAACACTATAGTATTTACTATAAATTACCATAGTATTTTCTTTTTTATGTGGGATGTCAGTTCTAAAACACAGTATTTACTATAAATGACCGTAGTATTTTTCTTTATGTGGGGTGTAAGTTCAACAACACTAGTATTTACTATAAATTACCATAGTATTTTTCTCTATGTGAGGCGTCAGTTCAACAACACTACAGTATTTACTATAAATTACCATAGTATTTTTTCTCTATGTGGGATGTCAGTTCTATAACACTATGGTATTTACTATAAATTACCATAGTATTTTTCTCTCTGTGGGATGTATGTTCAAAAGCACTACAGTATTTACTTTACATTACTGTAATATTTTTCTCTATGTGTGGTGTCAGTTCAACAACACTGTAGTATTTACTATAAATTACCACAGTATTTCTTCTCTATGTGGGATGTCAGTTCAAAAACACTATAGTGCTTACTATAAATTACTATAGTATTTTTTCATATACTACACTATAATGTTTTTGAACTGACATCCCACATAAAGAAAATACTGACGTACTGACGTTTTAGCAACTATACAGTGTATTATACAACAATATACAATCAGTTTACTGTTGTCAAATTAAATTATATGACCTTATTTATTGCAGTTGTTCTTTTCAGCGTTATTATTATTTCAGGTCTGTTATATACAGAAAACAGTGGATTGCATGTTCGCCTCACAGCAAGAAGATTGCTGGTTCAAGCCTCAGCTGTGTTAGTTGGCATTTCTGTGTGGAGTTTGCATGTTTTCCCTGTGTTGGCTTGGGATTCTCCCGAACACATGTGCTATAGGGGAATTAAAAATAATAAATTCTTCGCAGTGTATGGGTGTTTTTCAGTACTGGGTTGCAGCCATAAGTACATCCGCTGTGTAAAACATATGCTGAAATAGTTGGCGGTTCATTCCGCTGTGGCGACCTCTGAAATAGAGACTAAGCCGAAGGAAAATGAATACAGAGAACAACTAAAGTGTGCTTTAAAAACTAAATGACTAGCATTTTTGTATAATGTGAGTAAAATCACGATATAAACAAACAAACAAGCATACAAATAAACAGTAAATGGGCAAAATAATAAACGATTTATGGAAATAACGAAGAAAAAAAGGCTGAATCAATTTCCACACGCACTTCTGAACGTACAAAAAGACAACAGCAAACAGTTAACAGATGAAATGCGATGTGCTTTTAATATATGAGCCCCATCCAGAGGAAATTGCCGTAAGTGTGCTCCTAAATTGAAAATGAAAAACACATGAAAGGGGAATTTTGTTCATACTTGAGCAAGTTCAAAAATAAACAACACATTTCATATGCAATTTAAAGGGGGTGAAACGGTGGGGTTGACGCTCTTCACGACGGCTCTGTTGACATATTTTAACACCGACTGTCGACGCATGCATTCCAGATGAGGAGGAGTATCAGAGACCATGCGGGCAGAGATGCCCTGGTCTGGACCTGCTGCTGCAGTGACATCTACTGGACTTCACACACACACAGGAGTTGAAAAGAGGTTCATCTTACAACACTTCATAAAATATATCCAGCGAACAGAGGGGGAGCGCGGGGCACAAAGTGACGTGGGGTTAAATGTAACACGGAGTTTTACGGCATTTGCTCATGCCATAACATGCTTCCAAGGTGTTCACCACAGTGTCAGCAGATGTCTTCCTGCCAACTGAAAAAGTTAAGCAAAATAGGGTATATGCCGACCTAGTGTTTTCCCATACTGATTAACTTCCGGTGACCTGTTATTGTGATTTTTTTCCATTTTATACAGTTCCTTATACAGCATCGATGTTGTAATGTCATTAAAATACATCCAGTTAAATAAACTTTGGCATTCATTTAGTTGCTCAAGCGTAAAACGAGACAAAAAGCTGTTTACTCGCACGCGCCCGTCAGAATCGGCAGGCTAAGTTAGCGCAGAAGCTCTATTGAAATTACTAGGGTAAAATAAATGCTCATATTATAAAGACATGGCGGGGGGAATGTAATTTAATGCAGTGCTTCTTGTACAATCTGAGACCCACTTTATATCGGGTATCACTAGGCCAGTGGAGATCGCTGATTTTTAAAGAAAACAGACCTTAAACGCGACGATTTTGCAATGGTAAACAGTTAACCGGAAGTGATTAACCCAGGTAACCGGCCAATTAAAAGTCCTATTAGCATGCTTTGGCATTTACCTTATTTGAATGAGATACACAGAATAAACCATTTATGCAGCATAAAAGTATTTTTATTACAGTCAATATTTTTTAATTTAAAAAAATCTGTTAAATTATGAAAGCAAAATCTTGTATTGTTGTGATCGCCGTCTTCTAGGCTAAAAGATGAAACCATTTTGAAAGGTGTAAAAGCGCAGTGACTGCCAGCTAGTTTTGAGGGAAGCATGACACAGTGGGGTTAGTTGTATCAAACTCTAAAAAACATTTGAGTTATTTATTTATCCCAATGGTTAAGTTAAACATATTTGGTGCTTTGTTGGGTTATTTTGAACCTTTATTAGGTTATTTATTAATAACTCAACCAGTTGGGTTAAAAATTTGAACTTCAACGCTCAACTGATTTAACTGACGCAGATTATTATTACTGCTGGCGATATTTGAAGAGAAGTCAGTTTTGCTGTGTGCAGATGTGTGCATTAGTGATGTGTGACAATAAGACAAGTGACCAGCAGAAGATCATGTTTAGTCATTTTAGTGTGAAATAAACAGCTGCCCTCAAAAGTGGGCATTGTACAATATAGTCCGAAGCTTTCCTGACAAAAACAACAACAAAAGAGACCAAAAAATAAAAATATAAAAGTGACATGTTAAGATGCTATTTATAATGAACAAAATCAGACTTCACCAAACTAAGAAAAAGACTTGGTTTAAAAATGCATTTCTGGATCACCGTGACAGAACAACAACCCTTTATCAAATCCGAAAAACACAACGAACAAAAATAAAATAGTGTTTCATCATCTGCCATTAACCCCTCTGGACCTTCTCAATCAAACTCATGTGAAGTTGGTACAAACTTGGCTATGGAGACCTTAAAGTCCCCAACACACACATACACACACAAAAATAAATTGGCAACGGTAGTCAAACTCGGTAGATAAAGAGACACGATAATGATGATTAGCTGAAGGAATAAAACCAGAAAATTGAAGAATAATCCTACAGTAGCACACAGAAACAACGCCACACTTGTACATGGACTGACAGAGTAGGAGCGAGTGCGTCATCCCTGATGACCTGCTGTGGATAAAAATATATATATAAAAAAAAAAATCAAGGGGAAGAACAGATTTATAAAAAAAAAACTTACAAAAAAAAAAAAAGATAAAGAAAATAATTTTGGGGGAAATGGGTAAAATAATATAAATATAATAATTGGGAAAAACTTTTTATAAAAAGCATTAAAAGAAAATAAGACGACAAAATTCGGGGAAAAAATAATATGAATAAATAAAAATCTAAAGAAAAAATAAAATAAATAAATCGGGAAAAATAATGTAAATTAAAGAAATAAAAATTTTGGAAAAAAATAATATAAATGAAAAAAAAATCTAAAGAAAAAAAAATGCAAATAAATAAAAGCCTAAAGAAAAAAGAATTAAAGAAAATTAAATTCAAGGGAAAAAAATAAATAATTGGGGGAACGAAACCTGCGGGAAAAATAATATGAATAAATAAAAAAGTAAAGAAAAAAAAAATGGGGGAAAATAATATAAATAAAAAAAATTCTAAAGGCAAAAAGGGGGATAATGATATACATAATAAAAAAATCTTAAGAAAAAAAGAATTAAAGAAATAAAATTCAGAGAAAAAAAATCAGGGGAAAGAAAACTTGGAAAAAAATAACATGAAAAAAAAAATCGGTGGAAATGAAACCTGGGGAAAAATAATATGAATAAATAAAAATGTAAAGAAAAAAAAAATCAGGGGAAAATTAATATAAATGAAAAAAAATAATCTAGGAAAAAATAATATAAAAAAATCTAAAGAAATCTTTTTTGGGGGAAAAACCTGGGAAAAAACAATGTAATTAAATAAAAATGCTAAGAAAAAAATGGGGAAAAAAGGGAAAAAATAATATAAATCTGTGTAAAAAATTATAATTGGGGAAAAATATGAAGAAAAAAAAAATTTTTCCTTGCAACCCTTGCAAAATATTGCTAAACTCCTATGAAGATTGATGCCTCCAGAGATTCGCGACGATAAGAAATAAAGGAGAGGAACTGAAAAACTGCTTCATCCCACAGTTCAGGCAGTGATGAGACAAAACAGTAAAGGGCTCAGATATTTCCCACAATGCACTGCTTCACACCCCTCTGTAGGCTGTTATTAAACGTACATAATGAGACACTCGGAGCTGCTCGTTTGGTCCTGAAACACAGTTCTACATATTAACGCAAAGCATCGGACGAAAAAAACGATTCATTTTTTGTATTTTTTTTTTTAATATATGTATTTATATCAAATTCAATTTGGCAAACTACAAACCGCTTCATCTCATATAAACGATTCTTGATGATTCTACAGTCCAGTTCTGTAAAAAAGTAAAAGCCGAAGGGAGCTGATCCTTAGAAAAGCTATTGTGGACGCCACAAAATCCAGATTACAACGTATATAAATATCATCTCGCTCAAAAAAACAAAAAAAAAAAAAAAACAAAAAAAAAGACTTCATTCGCCACAAATTCCTATTGAAAGATTTGATCAAGTTGACGAAGTTATGTTACATAAAATGCTTTTAATTACATGATTGTTTCATAGTTCCCCACCACTGTTACGCCCCTCCATTTTCAGGGTCTTCACCTACACCAAATAAAACTACACAACATAAACGCAACGCAGACATTTAAAGACACCTTCATGACTGCCAACAGCACGACGGCAGCTTCTCTGAACATATTTTTTACTTTTACATCCTCCTTCTCATGTGGAGAACACACAATATCACGCCAAATGAGAAACTGCCTATCCATAAGTGGAAATTCTGTCGTTACTCTGTCCCTGAACAAAGTAGTTCCAATTTACAAACCGGTTTGAGTTTCTTTCCTCTGTTAAACACAACAAATGCCATTGACTTCCACAGGATTTATTTCTTCAACATTCTTCACAATATGTCGTTTTGTGTTCAACAGAAAAAACTCATGAGCGCAAGTAAATATTAAGTTTACTTTTATTTTGGTGAACTGTCTCTTTAAATTGTTACATTTCCATTGATAGTGTGAGAAACATATATCAGTTATTATTCCGTCCAAACAAAGCTCATGAGGAACAGATATTAAAAATTCCTTCCAAGCAAAGCTCACAAGGAGCAGATATTTATTTATTTTCTGTCCATTAAAAGCTCGAGGAACAGATATATTTAATATTCCGTCCAATCGAAGCTAGTGAGGAACAGATATATTTAATATTCCGTCCAATCGAAGCTCTTGAGAACAGATATATTTAATATTCCGTCCAATAAAAGCTTGTGAGGAACAGATATATTTAATATTCCGTCCAATAAAAGCTTGCGAGGAACAGATATATTTAATATTCCGTCCAATAAAACCTTGCGAGGAACAGATATATTTAATATTTCGTCCAATAAAAGCTTGCGAGGAACAGATATATTTAATATTGCTTGCAATCAAAGCTCGTAAGGAACAGATCTATTTAATATTCCGTCCAATCGAAGCCCTTGAGAACAGATATATTTAATATTCCGTCCAATAAAAGCTTGTGAGGAACAGATATATTTAATATTGCTTGCAATCAAAGCTCGTAAGGAACAGATCTATTTAATATTCCGTCCAATCGAAGCCCTTGAGAACAGATATATTTAATATTCCGTCCAATAAAAGCTTGCGAGGAACAGATATATTTAATATTCCGTCCAATAAAAGCTTGTGAGGAACAGATATATTTAATATTCCGTCCAATAAAACCTTGCGAGGAACAGATATATTTAATATTCCGTCCAATAAAACCTTGCGAGGAACAGATATATTTAATATTTCGTCCAATAAAAGCTTGTGAGGAACAGATATATTTAATATTGCTTGCAATCGAAGCTCGTAAGGAACAGATCTATTTAATATTCCGTCCTATCAGAGCTCGCGAGGACCAGATATATTTAATATTCTGTCCAATCAAAGCTCACGACTACATTCAAAAATGCAAAGTCAACATTCTTGGCATTAGACTCACATGAAGTTAAACAAAAAATAGGTTATATGGCAAATAGAAAACAAGTTGTGAAGAGTTGTAAGACATAAGGATTTTTACTGAATAACTACTTAAGTTTGTTTCTCACACAATTAAGTCATACTGACTTTTTTCTGGAGTTTGACAGATGTAAAAAAGTCATTAAAAATGGAATAATTGCCAGTATAAATTAAAGAACTACAATTATATCATCATGATAGCTTATTTTCACCGAAGAATGTAAAATAATGCAATTCTTTAGCTCACAATTCAAACTTTTTCTCATAGTTATGCACATATGTCGCACAACAGATTTAAAACACTCACAATTGGACGTTTTAAAATAATTTGAGAGCTAAACCGAAGTTCAACATCTTAACGAAAGATACATTCGATTAAACAGAATAGGAAGCTTTTAAATCGCACAGTATAGATTATTATTTTTTGCAAATTAAAATTATAACAATATTAACATTAGTAAACAATAATAAAGCAATTACCTCACAATTGATGGCTGAGGGTCAAACTCGCAAGATACTAAAGGGATAATTCCCCCCAAAAATGAAAATAGACTCACTCAAGATGATATAAAGTTTAAATTAAAGGTATTCTGAAAAATGCTGAGGGGGAAAAAGCAGCCAATGACGTCGATAGCAAACAAAAATACTATAGAAGTCAAGGTTTCCCCCCAACATTCATCAAAATAGAGAGAATTTGACTGTAGCAAAAACAATAATAATACTAACAATAATAAAGCAACTACCTTACAATTAAGGACTGAGGGACATACTTGAATATATTTATAGATAGATCACCCAAAAATGCTAATTTACTCACTCAAGTGGATCTAAATCTTTATGCATTTCTTTCTTCTGCTGAATAAAAACAAGATACTGATGAATGTTGAAAAAAGCAGCCATTGACGTCTATAGAGGAACAAAAACACTATGGAAGTCAATGTTTTCCATTAGCATTAGTCAGAATAGACTAAATTAGATTTTTGTTTTGCAAATAATAATAATAACTATAATAATAAAGCAGTTACCTCACAATTCATGGCTGAGAGTCAAACATGCAAGATACTAAAGGCATAGGTTGCCCAAAATGTTTTAATTACTCACTAAAGTTGATCTAAATCTTTACGAATTTCTTTCTTCTGTTAAATAAGAACAAGATATTGTGAAGAACGTTGAAAAAAAGCAGCAATAGAGAAACAAAAACACCATAGAATTCAATAGCTGTTGTTTTATATCTTCCTTTTTCAGCAGAAGGGAAAAGCAACTCATAAAGATTTAAAACCACATGAGGGAGAGTAAATAATGAGGTAAATGCCATTTTTGAGTGAACTAACCCTTTAACACAGAACTAAATATAATATGGTGGCAGAACTCCAACCTTTTACTCAATTATGAGTTAAATTTTTTTTGTATTGACTGAATTATGAGGTAAAAAAAGTCAGAATTGTGATGTATAAATAAAAAAAATGGCAAAATAATAAGATAAAAAGACGTAATTAATCCAATTGGCAGAACTTCCGTGCATTTTCAGAGAGAAATAACTGAGAATTTCCACTTATGGCTAAACCGTTTCTTCATTTTCTTAATCATCATCCACCCGTTTGTCGCCAGCGCTGCAAATCTTTACAAAAGCCATGATTAAACCCCGTTCCAACAAATACACTGAAACAGATGCTTGACACCCATGAAGAACTGGAGCTTTTTTTGTACACGACAGCTTATAATACAATATAAGGCATTTCAGTGTTGTATGTGAAATCAAGAAATAATGCTTCCCCCGTAAAAAGATGAACAAAACCCCCAATAATTCTATATTTGTAAAATATATATTTATATCTATATATATGTGTGTGTGTGTATGTATATATGCATTCACTTAAAGGAGGGTAAATATGCAAAAAGGTATAAAAAGCAAGGTGTATATATATATATATGTATATATATGCATGAGCGAGGAATCGAAAATGAGGTTGTGGGAGGACAGGATGTGATGTCGTACGGGAATGTTTAGATTCGGTTTCACTCGACGGCGTCACCGGCGGACACGGAGACTAACTGAAGAGGAATTTCGGTGGCGTTTAGCGGGTCCTGTGGGCTGGAGGAGGTGTTGACGGTGGCGTTGACGGTGGCTAGACCCTGCATGCTGCCCGGCTGGATGTTGGTGAGGATGAGTGTGGTGCCGCCGGCTGTGATGATGCCATCCGAGGACACGCCCCCGCTGGAAACCACGCCTCCGCCCTTTTTGTTCTGGTGCGTCTTTATGTGCTTGGCCAGATGATCGCTGCGCATGAATCTCTTCGAGCACTCCGAACACACAAACTTCTTTTCTCCTGATGACGGCGGCGAAATAACAAACAGTGTAAATAAGAGAAAAAGAAGAGCATATATATATAGTTGAAGTCAAAATTATCTTTTTTTCCCTTCTTTTTTTAATATTTCCCAAATGGGGTTTAACAGAGTTAACAGTATTTCCTATAATTTTTTTCTTTTTCTGGAGAAAGTTTCATTTGTCTCGTTTAGGCTAGAATGAAAGCAGTTTTTATTTGTTTAAAGGTGCTGTATGCAAGTTTTTGACTCCTCTAAGGCAGTGGTCCCTATCCCCTGGGATCAATCAGTACTGGGCCGCACAAGAATTAATTATCTTTAAGTTGGCAGATAAAGTAGCTGCATTTAAAGCCATACTGGATTTGTGGTGACGGTGCGTGAACAGGTATTTTGGACTTGCATGATATGTGTGTGTGCAGGCGCTCACAGGCTGTTTCACGAGCACACGCAAAGCTTGAAGGTAAACAAACAACGGCTTATCATAAGTATCTTATCAATAATTATTTACACGGTTGGCATTAAGATGAACATATAAACGTGATCTGACTAATTTCTAGCAGCTAAATGTGTCTGGAAAAATATTCAAAGGCTTTTATTCTCATAAACCGCGCGGACATGAATGCGTCTGACTGTTCTGACTGGCTAAAGCAGACGTCTCACGTCAGCACGTTCTAGACGTGCACGCGCTCCTTCCGGCAATCTTCCTTCTGCGTTTACACAGCGCAGCATTCCAGCCATTAATGTTACAACTTCTATTTCCGGAAAATAGCCTAGACAAATTTACCAGTATTTTTAAAAAGGCCCTGTTTAACATACACACCTTTTCCAGAACACAGGAAATTTTCTGGAAAGGTCTGTATGTGTGAAAGGGGCTTTTGTCTGCCATTACCCCCAGATGGGACCATCTAGTTGCAAAGAATCAAGCTCAGGGCTCGCATTGATTTAGCGTCAAAGTATTCATTTCTTAACAAATAAAATAAATGAGTACATCCCCTTTTTGAAAATTAATACTTTTAATAATTTAACAATATAAATAATATAATTTGCTAAAACCATTTTAATAGACAGGTATTATTCATAAGAGTGTGGTCACCTCAAATTTTTAATTACAGAAAGAAAATTAATTTAAATATATTTTTATTGTTATTTTACAGCTAGTTGTTAGTATTTTCTAGATTTTTCCTGTTTATTCACATTTTATTCAATATTTTTCACTGACATTAGTTCTGGTTTTGGCACTGACTAGTCTAATGTATATCCACAAACATAATAATGTAAAGCCTCCAAAAGAAAATATTAATTTAAAAGAGAAATCTTGTAAGGTGTGTACTCATTTATGCACAGTACAGAGCACAGTATGCATGTTCGCAAGCGTGTGTGTGTGTTAAAACCACCCAGTTACAATTTAACAGTCACTTTATATGTGTTCATCTTTGAAATTAATGGTAACATACTAACATCTAATGCAACAACTTACATTATTAATAGTATAACTTTATATATTTGCATTTAGTTCAGCAATACGCTTTTTCTCCTCTTTTATTAAGAAAAGAAAACACTGAACAGCACCAAATGAAACATTTTTCCTGCATAAGTGTGTGTAGTTGTTTTTACAAAGTTTATGTGCTGTGCTCATAGTTTGTATGTGCTTGCCACAATGTTCTCAGCAGCACCGTTACCTTAGCAACACTCTAATGTCAAACCGAGCGTTCCCAATCATCCACTAATGAGACTCCATATGTATATATAGACATTGCTTTAGACGGCAGCTGCATATATAAGCAAGGTGTCTCGCTATGTACATATATATATATATATATATACTGTAAGTCAGAATTATTATCCCCTGTATACCCCCCCCCCCCCCCCCCCCCCAAAAAAAAAAAACGGTTAAAAAAAATTAAAACAGCTTTTATTGTAGCTAAAATAAATAAATAAGACTTTATCCAGAAGATAAAATATTATAGGAAACACTGTGAAAAATTCCTGACTCTGTTAAACATAATTCGGGAAATGTTAAAAAAAAAAAGAAAATTCACTACAGGACTAATAATTTTGACTTCAATTGTGTGTGTGTGTGTGTGTGTGTGAGCAAGAAATAGTACCGGTGTGTGTTCTCCTGTGTCGCTGTAATTCATCACTGCGCGTGAACCTCTTCCCACAAAACATCCAGGTGCAGACAAAAGGTCTCTCTCCCGAGTGCCAGCGCAGGTGAGCTCGCAAGTGGGACGTCTTCCCGTAAACCTTCCCACAGCCGGCAATATGGCACACGTGCTGCTTCTTCTTGCCCATGTTAGATCCCCTGAAACACATCGTTACAAACGCACAGTCAGGATGAAAACATAAATCACACACAATCTTTAATGAAAACATGAAGTCACGCATGTTGTGCTGAGTGTAGGGCAGCACAATATATTGCTTCAGCATCGATATCGTAATGTTCGTATACATAATTATTACATTGAAATGTAATTTTTTGAGTGGATTTGTGTATTTATGAATCGCCTTTTGAATTTACGAATTAGATTTGTGCATTTATGAATCATTTTTTGAATTTACGAATTGGATTTGTGCATTTATGAATCATTTTTTGAATTTACGAATTGGATTTGCGCATTTATGAATCGCCTTTTGAATTTACGAATTAGATTTGTGTATTTATGAATCGTGTTTTGAATTTACGAATTGGATTTGTGTATTTATGAATCTTGTTTTGAATCTATAAATTGGATTTGTGTATTTATAAATCGTGTTTTAAATTTACAAATTGGATTTGTGCATTTATGAATCGTGTTTTGAATTTACGAATTGGATTTAATCGTGTTTTGATTTAATGGATTGGATTTGTGTATTTATGAATTGTGTTTTCACTTTACGAATTGGATTTGTGCATTTATGAATCATGTTTTGAATTTAGGAGTTGGCATTGTGTATTTATAAATCGTGTTTTAAATTCACGAATTGGATTTGTGCATTCAGAAATAGTTTTAAATTTACGAATTGGATTTGTCAATTTAGAAATAGTTTTAAATTTCCGAATTGGATTTGTCAATTTAGAAACAGTTTTACATTTACGAGTTGGATTTGTGTATTTATAAATCGTGTTTTAAGTTTACGAATTGAATTAGTGTATTTATAAATCGTGTTTTAAATTTACAAATTGGATTTTTCAATTTAGAAATAGTTTTAAATTTACGAATTTATAAATCATGTTAGGAGTTTTTGAATTGGAATTGGATTGGATTTTGAGTCGTGTTTTGAATTTACGAATGGATTTTGATTCTTGTAAAATGTGTTATTTTGTAAATGTATTTTTTTTTAGACTGATCTGGCTCCATAGTCTCGCTACACTTGTTTGGTTTACTTTTGGTGCATACCCGAATACGAATACTGCTTTCAAACGTGCCTAAACGAACCACATCAAAAAGATAAACAAACGCTAGGACGTTTAAACCAAAGTAAGTGAGCTAGATGAGAAAATACCCTAAGATAATGAAACAAACTTCTCTGTGTGCGTTTCGTCTTACCTCCCGCCTCCCTCTTTGCAGTTGGGGCAGGTACATGCGACCCTGCGCAGACGTTTGCCCTCCTGGCTCAATGCCTCCATCTCTTCCTCCACTAAACGAACACGAAGGTGAGAGAGGTCATTGGCATTCAGCGTAGAGCTACTGTCCAGAGGCCACTCCTCCGAATCAGGCTCCTCCTTAATCTGAATATCTATAGAGTATAGTATGATCAGCGTTACACTAACAGCACTGCACTGAGTACTGCTAAACACAACTGCACTCTCGAAATGTCACCATACAGGATTATTCTGTAACACTTTACAATACTGGACATGTAGGTAATGTATTTACTAACATGAACAAGGTTTACACAGCATTTATTAATTGTAGTTCATTACTAAAATTAAATGTTGTGCTTGTTTTTGCACTGTGAGTTAATAAGAGCTATCAATGAATGACTTTATATTCATCAACTAACATTAACAAACATGAACAAATACATAAATATATGCTAGGGCTGCACAATATATCGTTTCAGCATCAATATCGCAATATGATCATTCACAATAGTCACATCGCAGGATATGCAATGTTGAGTTTGTATCACAATTTATCAATTTCACGCGTTTTTAAAAGCCTTCGATTGTATAATGACAGTGCTTCCCACACACAGGTATATTAATGACCACCCAAGTATACTTAGTTTAACTGTATTAATTTCTTTATTCTGCTGAACTCAAAACAAGATATTTTCAAGAAGAGCTGCATTGATCGTTAATAGTTTACTCGTTAATAGTTTACCCCACCACAATCTTTTCTATGATTCAACCAACTATATTTTCAAGGACAAAAGAGAAGCATAGTAGGGGCACACGTCTTTACATTGCTTTCTACATGTTAAGTTAGGTCAATATCGTCTGTGCAACATCAGACAGCACTAGTGAGTAGGCATGGGCCGGTATAAGATTCTGATGGTGCGATAACCTTGGATAAAATCATCACGGTATCACGATTACTGCTAAAATATATTCTTTTTAATAGTCTGGGTAACAAAACAAACTTTTTTCCTCTTTGAAAACAATATATTTTATTTTTTGAAAGATTTATATTTTGGAGGAGTAAACATGTCAGGCTAAATAATTGACTTCTGCTGTCTTTGTTAGTTTCAAAAACACAGATTTCGTTACAATTTAAAACAGCATCTTTGGATATCTTCTCTGCTGGAGATACGGTTGTCATAAAAAACAAAAAAGTAAATAAAAAATCTTAAACGTATCTTAGGAACGGTATTACAGAAAATTTGGGTGGTTTTAAAACCTTAAATTTTCCAAACCGCAGTATACCTTGAAAACGGTGATCATCCCATGCCTACCCATGAGAATAGTACTATATCGTTTTATTCAAATCAAGCAGTGCGTACAGGGCCGGTGTTAGTTTTGAATAGTGTTGATTTTAAATGCAATAAATCTGGTAATATAAAGCTTGTAGTAACGGTGCTCATAATTAGTGGGTGTGACTACATTTTTTCCTAATTTTTTTAAGCAAGGAGCATTAGTGCTATTAAGCAAAAAGGTTAATTTCGAGCCCTGACATTGCGAAATCTGTGCTGAAATGATATATTGTGCAGCCTTATTTGAATGTATGCTTTTTTTTCTAAAGTGACAGTATTTAACTACCCCTCTTTTTAAAACTATGTTCTACAGAAGAATTACGCTATTTATTCCAAGCAAAAAAAAAAAAATGTGATTTTCATTTAGACCAGAGTTGTGCAGCTCTAAACTCAAGAATGTCAGAGCAATGTATATAGGAACAAATAATACTATAAAGTTTTTTCTCTTTCATTCTTCAGTATATCTTCCTTTGTTTTCAACAGAATTTTTTTTTTTAAACAGGTTTAGAACAAGAGGAGAATGAATAAATGTTTAATTTTTGCGTGAACTATCCCTTTAAGACCCTTCGGCCTCTTTAGGAGTCCAGCTGCAGTACCTCCGGTGCTGTCGGTGTCCTCGGACTGCTGGAACTGAATGCCTGCCTGGCCCACAGTGTTAACCGTCACCGACTGCAGATTGGGCATCTGTCCTGAGCTCAGGCTGACCGGTGTGCCACCCTGACCCAGAGATAGCGTCTGCACCGGGGCCAGAGTTATCTGCTGGGTTGGAGCCGTCTGGAGTTGAAGGTTCTGGAGATTCTGAACTCCCTGCACCTACATGAACAAATCAGGGCATAAGCGCACATATTTAATTTAATCCAACATTTTCAACACACAACAAAAATTAAGCATTCAGTGCCAGAAGAGCAGTGTCGAAACATTTCCATTTCAGACAAATGCTTTCTTCTGAACTTTCCCTGCATCAAGGGGAGCTGGAGAACATCTCAGCCTTTTTCAACATAGTAATAATTAGGACTGGGCTAATAAAACAGTATTTGGTGACCAAACACTATTGTCAATATCAATAAAAAAAAAAAAGTTTGGTATGAAGCGCCATAGATTTATTTAAATGTGTCTGCTGAGCTCACACCTTGGAAGGATGGCTAAAGAGCTTAGGGTTATTTCAAATCAAGGTGCACGCATTGTTTGCACAAATAGAGAGCAATGCACACATTGTGTGCAAGCAGCGAGCATTTTCCAGGAACATCAGCTTTCCAGAATGCCGCGTGTGCACTGCAATTCATTTAAGTAGAACCAATCTGCTTCACTCTTTGTGTAAAATATTCATATTTCAGTAATAATGGCAGACTAATTACCTCAGACAAGCAGAGTTCCCAAACACTGCAGCGCTTTAAACTTCTCTTCATAAATAAAACTTATATCGAAACTGCGGCAATGGTTGGTCTGCTTGTCATCCTCTGAAAAAATGGTTAATGTTCACCTAATATGAGAGATGCCAGGGTAGCGCGAGCACAAAGCTCATTGAAATGGTGAAGGACGGCTTTTCACGTGCTTTTAGAAGTAATAAGTGAATGGACTCTGGTTGGGTTTCGTCATCGCCACCTCAGTTAAAAATAACACACCTGAAAATGAGCGCCGTGACAAGCAGCAGTGAGGAGATTGTAAATAAAAAGGATGTAAGGATGTAGCCAGAATGGCTTTTTGGTTTCTTTTCTTGTGCATCCCAGCCACTAGCACCCCATGTGAAGAATTTTTAAGGGGGGGTAATAGTCATTCAACTTTACAATTTGTAATGTTGCAATATGTATTTGAATAATGATGGTTAGTTCCTTTACTTAAAAGCTCATAATCATAATTTGTGTTGTTGACACAGTTTGAGGTTTACTGTATTAATTGTCATCATCATTGTCATCAACTGTACCTAATGCGAGTACACCCTGAGAGAGAAGAGCAGTTTCATAAACATCTGACAAAAATCTTCACATTGTTTTATATTTGCCATGGACAAAAAAACGAAAGGTGCCACTGGCATGCGCAAAGTCATAGAAAAGACGTGGGCTTTTCGTCTGGTGTGTGACCCCCTCTGTGAGATATTGTACAGGTGTGGATATATCTGTACCTAGGGCTTGTACCATGAAGCTAGATTAGCTGGCAAGCCAGTTAAGTTTCAGCTTAGTTTGCAAAAAAAAAAAAGGCTTTTAGGTGGCATAAGGGCAGCTCGGCTTAGCTGCTTTATATCCCATTCTCATGGGGTTTCAGCGTCAACGCTCGACAGAGGGCATGTCTGAAGTTGGGGCTGACGCGATCATCATAGCAGCGTCAGCCAATGAAATTAGTCAGCAATCGGCTACTGTCTGAGCGGGTAAATTTGCATACAGCGATCTGATTCGCTGACGCTTCCATTGGTGCTTGAAAAGTTAAGAAAGTCCCAACTTCTGCAGCGAGCAACGATACTGAAGAGGCACCAACAAATCCACAATGCAGTTCAGCAACGCCTGATGTCACCTATTCAAAATGATTAGGAAGCATTAAAGCTGATGCCCTATGTGAATCGGGCGTTATAATACTCTTCTACACATAATACCACACAAAGAGTGATATGAGCTACCTTCATGTGACCTAAAACACAAGATTGCTGCAAAATAGACTAAACCTTATCTGGCTGGCCTGCTAATCCTGCTTTATGGTACAGGCCCCAACTCTGCTACTCAGCTCTCCAGTGTATTCATATGGTTAGTTTTGTTGTTTTGGATGTTGTTGTAATGTCTGACCCCTGTGGAATGAGAAACAAATGGAGGAAGAAACCACACAAAGAAGGCGGAGCTTGAGAACACACCCACTGATTGCATTATCGCAACGGAGCAACAGTAGCTCAAAGTAGCTAACTCCAAGTTGACTTTGCTGAGTTGTTTTTAGAACTGCCGAAACAAACTTAAAAAATTTAAAATAATGAATAAATAAATAATAAATAAAATTTAGCTGGATTTTGCTCAAAATGTCAATTTTTACTTTAAATCAAAGTTAGCCAAGCACGGAGTAAATGTGAATTTTTTTTAGAAGTTTTCAAGTCCCATCTGTAAAACATTCATTTCTTAAAAAAAAAAAAAAAAAAAAAAAAAAACTGATTTATTTTGTTAGTGTTCTACATTGTAAAAGTGCTATAGAAACAAATATGAATTGAATGGGATTTTCCTTATGCTTTTATGTGATGGAAGAGAATATATCATTCTTTTTAAATAATAAATTGTCGATGACTGACACAATGCAAACCATACCTGGAAGGTCTGCCACTGTATCTGTCCTGACGGCGTGACGGTTTGGGCCTGGATGAGGAATGTTCCCGGGTTGATGAGCTGGATGTTTTGCATGGTCTGCTGAGCCTGAGCAGACGCCTGACCGTCAGCGCTCTGCAAGGGCAGCTGCTGTAACTGGATCACCTGCTGTCCTCCAGACACCTGCACCGCTCCCTGACTGAGGTATCCCGAGCTGTCCGTCTGCTCTCCCGCCACTGGCTGCTGCGTCAACACCCCAGTGCCGTCTATCGTGGTGGCCTGCGAGGACGACACTGAAGACGTGGTAGGCACAAACATATCAGCGGTCGCGTTAGTGCTGAGCGTCTGCTGCTGCTGTTCTCCTGCTTTCTCAGAGTTCTCAACGCTCTGATTGGTCATGATCAGCTGTCCGTCAGCTGTGATGCCCGTGGCTATGGGCTGGGCTCCCGACAGTCCCAGAGAGTCCAGATCCACGCTGTTTATGGGCACGAAGGTAATGTTACCCGGCAAGCCCAGAGGCACGTTTGTGACCTGCCCGCCGAACGCAGAGCTTCCCAGAGACACCTGTGGGATCTGGTGCACTTGGCCTGTCTGTGTCATCAGGCTCTGGCTGTTGCTGAGGACGTCGGCGGACGTGACGCTGATGGTCTGGGTGCCGTCTGGGAGGATCTGGATGTGACCCGTGGCGTCCTGCGCCATCGAGGCCCCAGAGAAACCCAACTGCCCGTCAGTCGTCTGCACCTGAGGGATGACTTGGTATTGGATGTTAGGCACTGCGCCGGCGGACGCGTCGGTCCCCGACGTGAGTAAAATGGGCTGGTTCTGGAGGCCCTGGAGGCTCTGGAGAGGAAGAACATACTGTCCGTTGGATGTGACGATACCCGTGCCGGGGAGATGCAGGACACCTGAATCATCCCGTACAGCTTCCCATCTTTCAGTTGAGCTGGTTAGCTGATCTGAGAGGTCTGCATTCTGGGGAGGAAATCAAAATGTTCAATGAAATCCATGCTAGGATGCTTTTTCCTCTGTAGATCAATTGTTTTGTTCCAAGAGAGGGATTACAATTGTTACAATGCTTATTTTTGTTCTTGGTGCAGTTTGCTTTCACATGGCGAAGTTTCTAAACAGACCAAAATAGTTCACTTGTGAGTCAACTCTCCACACATTAATCAGAAATTCAGGATTTATTTTCTTAGAGTCCCACAGATTCCTCTCAGCTGTCATACGTCGCTGTTTTAATTTATGATGAGGAGCAACAAGAAATTAGAAGTAAAAAGGTGCACTTTTATTTTGACACCCACAGACATTGTCAATAAATATAAACCAGAGAGGAAAGACTTCCTTAAACATGGCCTCATTATAGTTGACAAGGGTTGTAAAAATCGATCAAGTAAAACTATTAAAAAGTTGGTCAGAATTCAGCATTATGTGCTTACATTAGAGCTGCACAATTAATCGTAAAAAGATCACAATCTCGATTCGACCCCCTTGACGATCTTAATCCAGCATTTCTACGATTCTGTCAATCATATTTTCAAGTTCAGGAGAGAAGAAAAGGCGGCTGCACGAGTCTTTTCATTGTTTCACACACGTTGCTCAGTGACATGGACACCTCCAAATGATGTTGAATGCATCACATACTGTATTTATAAGGTATAATTCACCTAAAAATGTCATTTTGGTCTTCATATAATGATGTTTTCGCGGTCGGGAAATCACACGTGACGTAAACTGCTGACCGTGAGCTGTTATCACAGAAGGGCGAGTGCGCGCTCTACTTAATGATAGTCGCACGCGTGTCTACTTTAGTGAACAGAACCTGCAAATGTTGTGAGTAACAGGTAATAAAGTTGTAAATAATATTCAATTTGTGGCACATAGTGATCGTTTAGGAGCCGCGCGCGAAGTATAAACAAGCACTTGGCAGTCAAAATGAAACCGAAAGTGTGCAAGACATTTAAATGATCTTATTGCATTTTAGAGTTATGATTATGACATGCATTTGATATGTTTTTTCTTTCATAGCGAACAGAGTTGTGCATGAAAATAAATGTTTACAATGTCAGTATAACTACTCTACCATATATATTTGTTGAATGTAATCTGATAATGGAATATGTCTGATTTTACCAGTGATTAAATTTGTCTAATTTATGACAGCTTGCAAGCATATATCTCAAACATAATAATTCAACATCAGAATTAGTATAAGTAGAATAGAATTATTTATAGCAACCAGTAGACCTACACATTTTATTATCGATGTTGTGCCATATGTTTGTTTTTACCATATCTTTATTTTACATCTACAGAATCGTGATCTTTATTTTAAGCAAAAAAAAAAAAAAAAATCGCGATACAAATTTTAGCCAGAATAGTGCAGCTCTAGCTTACATTATAGAGGGAAATAACAGATGAAGCGAGACTTCAGTCAGATCATGAAGCAGATCAATGTTGATCTTTCTTGAGGTGTCAGTGGAGAAATGAACAAAACAATAGGTTTAATACAAAACATCATAAGATAAAAATATGGAAAAAAAATATCAGATAGGAATAATCAGTCAATTTTCCTAACAGATAAACGCCACTCGTTTAATATTTCAGCATAGTTTCACTTTCGTATACAACAAAATACACTTTACCGGTGGGAATGACATACTGGCCTACTCAAATTTCTCTCTTCATACAGTGTAGTCATATATAGGAGCTGCACGATTAATTTAAAAAAAAGATCACAATCTCGATTCGACTCCCTAGTTAATCTTAATTCTGCCAATCATATTTTTAAGTTCAGGAGCAAAGCAAAGGCAGCCGCACAAGTTTTCACATTGTTTTACATGCGTTGCTCAGTGACATGGACATCTTCAAATGGTGTTGAAAGAGTCGCATACTTTACAAGGTACAATTCACCCAAAAATGTCATTTCAGTCTTCATGTAATGATTTATTTGCGGCTGCGAAATCACTTGTGACGCGAGTTGCTGACCTGTTACCAGATAGGGCAGGCGCGCGCCCTACTTAATGATGGACATGGGCGTGTCTACTTTAGTTAACAGAACTTAATAAAGTTGTAAATAACATTTAGTTTGTGGCACAGAGTGATCGTTCGAGAGCTACATGGGAAGTATGAACCGCACTAAGCAGTGAAAATGAAACTGAAAGCACGCACATTTAAATAATCATATCGCATTATAGAGTTATGATTGCGACAAGTGTTTAATATGTTTTTCTTTTATAGCGTTTATTTGTGCATGAAAATAAATGTTTAACAGTGTCAGTATAACTACTCTAGTCTATATAATGTTGAATATAATGCAAGAGGGAATCTGATAATGACAAATGTCTGATTATACCAGTGAATAAATGGTCTAATAATGTTGTCAATGACAGATTGCAAGCATATGTCTCAAACATAATAATTCAACATCAGAATTATGAATAGTTGTATTCTGATGTCATCGCTTTACTGTGCATTAATGACCAGGACAAATTTAAAGTTGCGATTCTCATTTTAGCCAAAATTGTGCAGCTCTATCATATATATGCCTATTACTAACTATAATACACTGCAATATAGCCTGGTTCGTCAGTTTGTTGTATTGTAATGCTTCTCACAACAATCGATCAGCTCCAGAATTCATTTCAATCGAGCCGAGACCACCACATTCAGGCGGTCTCGGACCGATTGATTTGGTGCGGATCAGAGCGTGATTGCTGGATTTACATTTGCCAAACGAACTATCAAAGTACAACGTTGTTCACGAAACAAACTCTGAAGCAGAGTGATTGTAAGCAAAATCACTACATGAACTAACGAACCAGGCTGTATCTGAGTGTATTATGGTAGCCATATGAATGACCATACTGTATGAGAGAGAAATACGAGTATGATGTCATTCCTACCGGCAAATATGTGTTTCATGACGAATACGAAAGTTAAAGCATGCTGAAATATTACCCGAGTGCGGTTTATCTGTTAGGAAAATTGACTGAAATTACCATCTGATAACTGTTCCATATTTTAATCTTATATTATTTTGTATTAGGCCTGTTGTTTTGTTAATTTTTGCACTGACACCTCGAAAAAAAAAAGACCAACATTGATTTGCTTCATGATCTGACTGCAGTCTCGCTTCATCTGTTAATTCTCTCTGTAATTCCAGCCATTTTTTGGTGGGGCAAGTGAAAATGTTAGCAGGGCAAGTAAAAATATGATTGGGCCAGTAGTAAAATCCTTAGCTTGAACACTGCAATGCATGTCCAAGACATGAAAAAAAGAAAATAATAATTTACCTTCTATATTGAAAATACGTCATTTTGTGTTTTTTTTTCACCAAATCAGTGACATAATTTATGAATTTGATAATTAAGGAGATAAAATCCTGTAATTTTTTAAGCAATTTAGTAGTTTTGATTAGGACTGAGGTTGATTAACAGATTTATGTAAAAACAATTATCTTATGCATTTTTACAGCAGTTTAACTTGGTGGATTGTATTGTTGATTTTTTTTTTTTTTTTTTAAATCAAAGCATTTTCTCAAAATAAGGTTTGTCAGAAAAAAAATCATTCTGCTAGCTGAAAAACAGAAAAAAAAGATATGGCAAAATTAAGACTCAAATCCCCCGAAATGGATGAAAACATTCCCCATAGTACATAAGGGTTAAATAGTGTGGCTTCTGATTATGGGGTAAAGTGTGTTTCATATTCAGACTTTCTGCTCAATAATATATAGAGGTAAAGTTGGTTTTATATTAGGATATTCAGACATTCTCCTTAATAAAATTATTTCAGAAAAACATTCTTTGCAAATTCTAAATAGGGAAATCATATAAGCAGCAAATGACTATCAAAGTACAACATTGTTCACAGTGAATTGGATAGTGTTAATGTTGTTTAGAAGTCATACTCAGATATAATATGATAATAATGCTAAATGGACGAATGTGCGAACATAAAACCAACTTTGCCTCTAATAATAATAATAATATCACTTCAGAGTTGTCAGTTCTAAATGGGGAAATCATATTAGCAGCCACAAAGTATCAAAGTACACCCTTGTTAACATTCAAATAGTGCTTACGTTGTCGAATATTCAAAGTACATTATAGGGATCCTGTCACAAGTTCAGAAATGAACGGCTGTGCGAATATGAACCCAACTTTACCTCAGCCATATTACTTCTTTAAGTTTATGGTATAAATACACTCCACACAAAGCAAACACGCCCCGGGCTTGTACTCAAACATATGTAAGAGGGTTATTTAAAGGTGAAACGGTGTAGTTTCTGACTTACCACCCCAGCTGAAGCGTTATTAGAGCTGGCCCCGTTCTCTGCTCCGGGGGCGGGCGAACCGAGGCCGGTGCAAGTGGCGGCGAGCAGGGCGAGCGGCGAGGGCTGTCCGTCCTGCAGATGGGCGGGTTTAATACATGAAAGGGGGTGGCCACACAGGAAGTACCAGTGTTTTAACAGAACAAAGTGAAAACTTCACTAAAGCACATGCATTAGAGAATAAGAGAGGAGAGGATTTGATGCGATTTTTACCTGCTCCGCGCCGCCGCCGTCCTGAGCGCTGCTGCTGTCCGCCATGACTCCCGCTTTCACTGGCCCTTCAGGCGCTTAAACACACACACAACAATGCTAAAACAAGCATTAGAGAGTGACTGCAGCACGCGGGTGTTTCATCGGGTGCCACACAAGCGTTTCGGCGGCTTATAGATAGATTTAGCTCCGTATTTATTTGCTAAAACTCTCTCAGATTCACCCGCCTGCTAACGTTAGCCTAGCTTAGCACAAACATAGCCTGCACAAAGATTCAAAGCGATCGTTGTGTGCGCTCCACAGATGCTACGTACCGGTCATTACGTGAGCTCTTTCCTGGAGATTGATGGTTGGCTTTTTTTACACCGCGAACATGGTTGTTTTAATCGCTGCTTGCGCTCGCTTTAGTCCAGTTTGTTTTTTTCTTAATTTGATTGACGGCGGGGCTTCCACTTCGCCAACTGCGTCACCAGCAGGAAGTCCCGCCCTTCGTCTATACTCTCATTGGAGGGTCGCTCGGCAAGCTCAGCTTGTGATTGGATGGGCGGGATGTCTGTCATTTTGACCGGGTTGCTTCCTATGTTTCCTTGTCCCTTACACAAGTTTTGTAGGTGAAGATGTACAGTGTGATGGAGAGCAGGGTTTGCTTTATTATTGTGTTCTAAACGTTTGCCTATTTAGACTATCATAACAAGCAGACCTACTTCATGTTTAGGTTTTCCTTTTTCTCCCCCATTCATAAACATATCAAGAATACTAGATGTCTTTGCTTCTGTTTCAACAAGCAGGGAAACTTGATGATCCATCACTTCTCATTGTCTTGTAATCAGCAATTAAGAGGTTTGTGTTTAAATGTGAGAGGATACTTGAGCTCTGTCAAGTGTTTCTCAAGTAACAGGAGTGATTAATGATATTCAGCCCTTTCTCAATGAAGAACACAGCAGCATCTTTATAAAAGATGAGTCAGAGATGGGTTTATAAAATTATGAAGCCGATTTGTGTTTTTTTGCTTCAATATTTTTAGGGGGGAGGGGGGCATAGAGTCTGCCAACATTAATGTGGCACGTTAAATACAGATTCTTTTATTTTTTTAAATTTATTTATTATTACATTTATTTTTGTAAATATTGTGTAGTGTTTGGCAGGCCAACACACACATCCAGACATGCATATATTAGTTGTATGTATTTTTTTTTGTCAGAATGATCCTTGTTTCCACATCCATCTGCAAAATCAAAAAGCCAGAAATAACTTGAAGTAACCCAAATATAATTATTTTTACTAAATAAAAAGAAATGCATACATTTACTAAATAAAAAATATGCAATGAAATTATATATACACACACATATATATATATATTTCGTAATCACTGGCCACTTTAATAGGTACACCATACTAGTACCAGTTTGGACCCCTTTTTGTCTTCAGCCCTAATTATTCGTGGCATAGATTCAACAAGGTACTGGAAATAATCCTCAGATTTTACTCCATATGGACATGAAAGCATCACGCAGTTGCTACAGATTTGTCTGCCGCACATGATGCCAATCTCCCGTTCCACCACATCCCAAAGGTGCTCTATTGGATTGAGATCTGGTGACTGTAGAGGCCATTTGAGCACAGTGAACTCATTGTCATGTTTAGGAAACCAGTCTGAGATGATTCACGCTTTATGACATGGTGCGTTATCCTTCTAGAGGTAGCCATGAGAAGATGAGTACACCATGGTCATAAAGGGATGGACATGGTCAGCAACAATATTCAGGTATGCTGTGGAGTTGACATGATGTTCAGTTGGTACTAATGGACCCAAAGTGTGGCAAGAAAATCTCCCCCACACCATTACACCACCACCACCACCAGCCTGATGGATTCATGGTTTCATGTTGTTGATGCCAAATTCTGACCGTAACATCTAAATGTACAGCAGAAATGGAGACTCATCAGAGCAGGCAATGTTTCTCCAATCTTCTATTGTCCAGTTTTGGTGAGTCTGTGTGAATTGTAGCCTCAGTTTCCTGTTCTTTGCTGACAGGAGCGGCACCCGGTGTGGTCTTCTGCTGCTGTAGCCCATCCGCCTTAAGGTTGGGCGTGTTGTGTGTTCAGAGATGCTCTTCTCTTGGTTGTAACGAGTACTTATTTGAGTTACTGTTACCTTTCTATCAGCTGGAACCAGTCTGGCCATTCTCCTCTGACTTCTGGCATCAACAAGGCATTTGCACCCACAGAACTGTCGCTCACTGGATATTTTCTATTTTTCAGACCATTCTCTGTAAACCCTAGAGATGATTTTGAGTGAAAATCTCAGTAGATCATCAGTTAGTTTGAACTACAGCAGATCGTCTTGACCATGTCTACATGCCTTAATGCATTGAGTTGCTGCCATGTGATTGGCCGATTAGAAATTTGTGTTAATGAGCAGTTGGACAGGTGTACCTAATAAAGTGGCCAGTAATTGTATGTGTGTGTGTGTGTATGTGTATATATATATATATATATATATATATATATATATATATATGACCATTGGGCTATTGATCACCTCCCTGACTAAAGCCCTTCTCCCCTGATCACTCGGCTTAAATGGCCGGCCGGCTCTAGGAAGACTCCTGGTGGTTCCAAACATCTTCCACTTACGATTGATGGAGGCCGCTGTGCTCACAGGAACTTTCAGAGCAGCAGAAATGGTTCTGTAACCTTCCCCAGTCTAGCGCCTTGAGACAATCCTGTCTCGGAGATCTACAGACAATTCCTTTGTCTTCATGCTTGGTTTGTGCTTTGACATGCACCATTAACCCTGGGACCTTATATAGACAGGTGTCTTTTCAATTTAGAGTGCACAGCGAAGGCTGTGAATACTGATGTACATGTGATTTTTCAGGTTTCTTATTTTTAATAAGTTTGCAACAATTTCTAAAACTGTTCATTCACATTGTCATTATGGAGTATTGTGTGTAGAATGTTGAGGAAATAAATTAATTAAATCCATATTGGAATAAGGCTGTAACATTAAAAAAAAAATGTGGAAAAAGTGCAACGCTATGAATACTTTCCGGATGCACTTTAAATAAATAAAATAAATCATAATTAACAATAGGCGATGCAGTGGCGCAGTAGGTAGTGCTGTCACCTCACAGCAAGAAGGTCGCTGGTTCGAACCTCGGCTCAGTTGGTGTTTCTGTGAGGAGTTTGCATGTTCTCCCTGCCTTCGCGTGGGTTTCCTCCCACAGTCCAAAGACATGTGGTACAGGTGAATTGGGTAGGCTAAATTGTCCGTATTGTTTAAAGTACACATTAAATCAAAACTAACCACACTTATTTTGTTAGCTCATATTGCTAGTTTTGTGGTGAACATTTCATCTGTGCATGTCATTAGGGAAGAAACAATAGTTCCTGTTTGTTTTCAGTTAAATTCTCAGATTAAGGGCTCTATTTTGACGGTTCATGCGCAGAGCGCAGGGCGCAAACGCTTTCAGGGTGTGTCAAAATCCACTTTTGCTAATATAAGGATGGAAAAATCCGCTTTGCGCCGTGGCGCATGGTCTAAAAGGGTTGAGTTTATTTTCTTAATGAGTTATAGGTGTGTTTTGAGAATAAACCAATCAGAGTCTCATCTCCCATTCCCTTTAAGAGCCAGTTGCATCGCCCCATGGTGCATTTGCTATTTACATGATGTAAAGTAAGTGTAAGTGTACAAACTGAGCATTATTAAATTATAATTATTAATTATATTAAAGTTAATATAATTATTAACTTTTACTTTCACTCTCGTTAATAGGAAAACCTTATACACACAGACATCAATTAACCTATAAATAGTTAATTTTGTTTGTTAAGCGCAAAGATTTGTTTCAAAACTATTTCTAAATTCAGTTCTAATTTCCAGCAAACGAATAAATGAACAATAATAATGAAGTGTGCTCAAAAACCTGAGTTATATCCTAAAACACATGCTGTGCCCCTTATGGTCTAAAACCTGACAGGTGGACAAATATAAGCTTGTTTTCAATAAAACAAATATAAATATGGATATAATAAATAATACTGCTAATAATAATAACATTATACAAAAGCTTATACCTTATATAGACAGGTGTCTTTTCAATTTAGAGTGCACAGCGAAGGCTGTGAATACTGATGTACATGTGATTTTTCAGGTTTCTTATTTTTAATAAGTTTGCAACAATTTCTAAAACTGTTCATTCACATTGTCATTATGGAGTATTGTGTGTACAATGTTGAAAAAATAAATTAATTAAATCCATATTGGAATAAGGCTGTAACATAAAAAAAAATGTGGAAAAAGTGAAACGCTATGAATACTTTCCGGATGCACTTTAAATAAATAAAATAAATCATAATTAACAATAGGCGATGCAGTGGCGCAGTAGGTAGTGCTGTCGCCTCACCGCAAGAAGGTCGCTGGTTCGAACCTCGGCTCAGTTGGTGTTTCTGTGAGGAGTTTGCATGTTCTCCCTGCCTTCGCGTGGGTTTCCTCCCACAGTCCAAAGACATATGGTACAGGTGAATTGGGTAGGCTAAATTGTCCGTAGTGTGTGAATGTGTGTGTGGATGTTTCCCAGAGATGGGTTGCGGCTGGAAGGGCATCCGCTGCGTAAAAACTTGCTGGATAAATTGGTGGTTCATTCCGCTGTGGTGACCCGGATTAATAAAAGGACTAAGCCGACAAGAAAATGAATGAATGAATAATCAACAATAAAAAACACATGCAAATGATAAATTATAAACCAGATTATTAATATTGTGAACGATCTCATTGCAATACTGATATATTGAGCAGCCCTATACTCCTGATAATGGAAAAACAAGGCATAATAGTTTTTTCCCAAAAGTAGACAACTCGTGCACCTATGCCTCCCTGATTCACAGTGCGTCGAGGGAGTTTGAGGAAATTAACTCAGGAAATTAGACTGTCTGGGGGGCAAATTCAGCAGATTGTTTTGTTATTCACCAGAGAGCGGGAAAAACTGGGTGGAAGGAGATCGCACAGAAGAGAAGACAGAAAAAAAAATCCCACTTTGTATCGTCCTACACGTCCACAAGGAGCAAAAAGAGTCTGTGAAGTTTGTTCGCGGCAGTGGTGTTGCTTTTATAAACGCTAAAAGATTAGCCCGATTGCATTGAGATAACAGCCCCGAGACATTCTGCACTCTCAGCTGCGTTCCCGATCTAAGACTCTGTTCGCTGCGTCGTTTCCACTGTGTCAGCTCCTCCCCGAGAGTGACCAGAGAGCAGCGTTTTCCTTCAACCTTCAATTCAAACTTGGCCCATTACAGCCAGACTACAAAAGCACTTTCCTTGCACTCAGGGGCTCGCACCAGTGAGTGGGGGATATTTCCAATCACTCCGCTGTCAATCTGAGTGTCAGGTAAACACAGGCTGGCAAGACGGAGCCTTTAGAAAGGCCCACATCTGCGGCTCTCGCTCTCCTACCTTACCTTGCGCCGGCTTATCCGCAATCTGGCGCACAAAGACACCCACACTCAAATGGAAAGGCATCGAAACGCAGCTGTTGTACAATGGTACGCCCCGGTATCTTATCTCACATCTTTAGATTGAAGTACTACACAATAAGTTAATTGCTTTGAGATTTCAGCTGATGTATGTGTGTGTGTGTGAATGTGATTTCATGGCAAGGGGACAAATTGGCTTGCAAACCCGGCAACACAGTCTTGATTGTCGAAACAAGCTGGAACACAGAGCGTTGAGTATGTGTGTATTGATTGACTTGGTTCCGGATGGCATGGGAATGGGTGTTTGTTTGGTTATACTTGGACACAACTATTATAAAGGGCGGCACAGTGGCTCAGTGGTTAATAATAATAATAGGTTAGAAACATATGTTCAGGCACAGTCCTAAGACATGGGGTGTAGGTGAATTGGGAAAACAAAATATGACCCATTATGAAGTCTTAATACACGCTGCAGAATTTAAAG